TATCAGGCAGGCATACAAGCGAGTGGTTAGGAGCCAGCAGTCCCGGATTGCAAGAGGGATGTCCCCCAAGGGGTCCCAGATTGGAGAGGGTGCAGGCTGGGCTGAGGGACACCCCCCCCCCTCCTGTGCACAAATTTCGTGCACCTGGCCACTAGTTTATAAAACAGAGAACACAGAATCTAGAGACCAGCAGGTCTTGGTCTGTAACTCTAGCAAGTGTCATGAATGTAATGTTTTGTGTATTTTAAAATAAAGGTTTTTAAATGTTTCCCCCAAAACTCTGAGGAGATACTAATACTAACTTTTTAAAAATATATTTTTATGGATTTCAGAGAGGAAGGGAGAGGGAGAGAGAAAGAGAAACATCCATGATGAGAGAGAATCATGGATTGTCTGCCTCCTGCAAGTCCCCCACTGGGGATCGAGCCCACAACCTGGGCATGTGCCCTTGATCGGAATGGAACTTGGGACCTTTCAGTTCATAGGCTGATGCTCTATCCACTGAGCGGAACTGGCTGGGGCCCAATACTCCTCCTGACACCCTCTACTGGGGATTGAGCCTGAAGCCTGGGCATGTGCCCTGACCGGGAACCGAACCATGACCTCCTGACTCATAGGATGACATTCAACCATTGAGCCACACTGGCCAGGACCAATACTAACTTTTAATTTGAGGAACAGAAAAGCTTCCCAGAGTCTTGCCAATGTGACACAAGCACATGGAATGTTAGTCACCTGCTCATGCCTGGTTTGAATAAAATGAACTGCCATTTAATAAAAAATAAGATCAAATGATGCCTTTTAAAACTTGCAACTACAAAATCATAGCTTAGATATTTTAGTCACATGATCTACTTGATGGCCCTAAGTCACCTTCAGAATAGGAGGAGAACCCCTAGAGGCCTGCAACCCTCCTCCAGGGAAGAACACCACCCTCATATCTAGGTCTCCCAGGCCTGAGCCTGGAAGGTCAGCCTATCCAAGGAAAACACACTCATTCAACAACAGCAGCATGTACTCACTGTTGAAAAAGATCCTTCACCAAGAATTTTCCCGAATTTGAAGTCTTCCGGGCGTTTCTTCCGAGGCTGTGGTGGTGGCTGTGCGGCATGTTGCAGTGAGTTGGCACTTGGTCGGGACTCGGCCGCAGTGCTGTCCATGGTGGGGCCCTGCCTGCTACCACCGCTTGGAACAACAGGGGCCGTGCCGGAATCAGTCTGGGTCCTCACCATTGATGGGGATGGGCAGGAACATAACACCACGCTGGACTGAATAGGAATGGTGTCATACTGGTGGACCCAGGAAAAAGAGATAAGACTCAAAGGAGCTCTTCTTAAACTGCATGAACTCAAGTGTTGACATTGTTGAAACACAAACACAAAGTACAGACAGGCTATCTGACATTCTGCCACATGGTTCATGCTGCCCTCCTCTCCCAAGTCCCTTCTCTGCTCAAATCCCAGTCCTTCCAGTCTTGCTTTCCCAAGAACCCCACCACTCAGTATCAATCTGCCCTCATCCTCCTCCCTTAGCACTGTATGAGTCTCCAACACACACCCCAGACCCCACTCAGTGGCCAGTTAGCCTGCCCATCACTACCCAACTTAAATGCCATCTACAGCCAACCCTTGTTCAAAAAGGAAGTCAGTCTAAACCCTGTGACCACAGTATATACTATTTCAGAACCCCTGGCCCTATTCACCCACCCATAGCTGAAATAAGACTGGATACACGCGAAGGCACTCAATTAGGGCTTAAACAAACAGACTGGCTTGAGATTGCATCCCACAGCCAAATAAAATGTTAACTATGCAGTCCTGGAACACAGAAGTATAACTTAATGGAAAGAAGAGTCCAAGAATTGCCAACCACACGTAAAAGTTACAGTTGATAAAAAATAAGCTTAACAAAGCAAAACAGTAGTGGCGTAATCGGTTAACAGTAACTGATTTAGAGCCAAACTGCCCTCTACAAACCAAACGAATTTAAAAACTTAATTTTAAAAATTATTCAATATGATCCGTATTAAAATTCCAACTGGCTTCCTTGTAGAAATTGACAAGCTGAATCTAAAATTCATACAGAAATTCAAGGGAGTCAAAATAGCCAAAACAATCTCAAAAAAACAAAACAAACAAAAAATCTGAAGTTGGAGGACTCTCATGTCCAGATTTCAAAACTTAGAAAAAACCTATAGTAATCAAGACAAGATGGTACTGGCAAAAGTATAGGCACACAGATGAATACAATAGCATCTAGAAATAAACCCTTACATCTACTACCACCAACTGATTTTTGACATGGATGCCAAAACCCTTCAATGGGGAAAAAACAGTCTTTTCAACAAATGGTGCTGGGACAACTGGATATCTACATGCAAAAAAATGAAACTGGATGCCTTTCCCACATTATATATCAAATTTAATTTAAGTAGATCAAAGATCTACCTGTAAGAACTAAAACTATAAAACTCTTAGAGAAAAATATAGGGAAAAATATGAAAAAATTTTCATAACCTTGGCATGAACCTTGGTGTCTAAGATATGAAACCAAAAGCACAAGAAAAAGAAAAAAAAAACAGGTCAAAGGGACTTCGTCAAAATTAAAAACTTCTATGCTTCAAAGGCACCATTAAGAAAGTGAAAAGACAACCCATAGAATGGGAGGAAATATTTGCAAGTCATATATCTGATAAAAGACTTGTAGCCAGACTATATAAGGAACTCTTACAACTCAATTTAAAAAAACCCCACACATTCAATTTAAAAATAGGCAGTGGATTCAAATAAACATTTTTCCAAAAAAGAAATATAAATGGCCAAGCAGCACATGAATATGCTCAATATCACCAGACATTATGGAAATGCAAATCAAAGCCACAAGAAGATTCCACTTGAACCCACTAGGATGGTTAGAACAAAAAAGACAGATAATAAGTTAATGAGAACGTAGAAAACTTGGATCCCTCATACATTGCAGCTGGGAATATAAAATGGCACTTTGGCAAATAGTATGACAGTTCCTCAAAAAGAAACAGGTACCATATAACCCAGCAATTCCACTACTTGGTATATACCCAAGAGAAATGAAAACGCATTTGTTCATAGCAACCTTACTCATAACAGGCCAAAAGATGGACACAACCCAAATGTCCATCAACAGATAAATGGGTAAACAAAACATAGTGTAGGCATAAAATCAAATATTACACAGCCATAAAAAGGTAGGAAATATGGACCTATGCTACAACATAGTTGAAAATGGGAAGCATGATGCTAAGTGAAAGAGACCATGCATAAAAGGCTACCTATTGTATGATTCAAGTGACATAAAATGTCCAGAACAGGCAAATCTATAGAGACAGAAAGTAGATAAGTGGTTGTCAGGGGCAGGGGGAAGGGGAGAATGGGGAGTGACTGCTAAATGGTTCTGGGGTTTCCTTCTGGAATGATGAAGATGTTTTGGAATTGGATGGTGGCGATGTTTTCTGTGAATATACTAAAAACTACTAAATTAGCATTAGCTGGTTTGGCTCAGTGGATAGAGCATCAGCCTGTGGACCAAAGGGTCCCAGGTTTGATTCTGGTCAAGGGCACATGCCTGGGTTGCGGGCTTAATCCAACGTGCAGAAGACAGCCAATCAATGATTCCCTCTCATCATTGATGTTTCTATCTCTCTCTTCCTCTCCCTTCCTCTCTGAATAAAAACACACACACAAAAAAACCCTACTAAATTGTATATTTTAAATGAGGTAACTGTATGGTATATAAATTATATCTCTATGAGTTATTATAAAAAATTAGAGGCCTGGTGCATGACATTCGTGCAGCACTGGAGGGGGGGCGTCCTCTCAGCCCAGCCTGTGCCCTCTTTCAGTCTGGGACCCCTCCAGGGATGTCCCCCAAGGGATCCTTAGCACTGCCACAGAGGGGGGAGGGATCCTGCCACTGCCACTGCACTCACCAGTCATGAGCCCAGCTTCTGGCTGAGCAGCGCTCCCGCTGTGGGAGTACATTTATCTCTGGTGGTGAGTGCGCGCCATAGTGATCGGTTGTTCTGCAATTCGGTCCATTTGCATATTAGGGTTTTATTATATAGGATAGCTGTATCACGTATGACTGCATTAAATTATAATAAGAACTCATTCAAATCTCTAAATCACCAAGACTTTTAACCCCTTCCCCAACAATTTTTTTGTTAAAAACGTTTCTTTTTCAGACTAATTTTTTTATTTTGGTTCTATATAGTATTTTTGATGCTGGTTATGAAAACAGTTTGTAACTCGTCTTCCTATAAACCATATTTTTTTACCATATTTTCTTAGTATACTCGTCGACGACTGAAAAAGAACATTTTGTGAAAACGAGTATACACGTTTCTGCCAGGGAAGGGGTTAAAGAAGAAATAGGCAAGGACCAGGCACCAAAATACTTCAAGTAACCAAGAGATGAAAACATACACAGTATATGCACTCATATGATCATAGCAGCACAATTCACCATAGCTAGGTTCTGGAAACAGCCTAAGTGCCCATCAGTAGATGAATGGATTAGAAAACTGTGGTACATATACACAATGGAATACTATGCTGCTGTAAAAAAGAAGGAACTCTTACCATTTGCAACGGCATGGATGGAACTGGAGAGCATTACCCTTTGTAATACTGTAAGCAATAAAAAAGAAAAGAAAACATACATAGTAGTCAAAGATAATTTTTTTAAATATATATTTTCTTGATTTTTTTACAGAGAGGAAGGGAGATAGAGAGTTAGAAACATTGATGAGAGAGAAACATCGATCAGCCACCTCCTGTACACCTCCCACTGGGGATGTGCCCGCAACCAAGGTACATGCCCTTGACTGGAATTGAACCTGGAACCCTTCAGTCCGCAGGCCGATGTTCTATCCACTGAGCCAAACCAGTTACGGCTCAAAGATAATTTAAAGCAACCAGAGCCCTGGCCAGGTACTCAGTTGGTTAGAGCGTCATCCTGATATGCCAAGGTTGTGAGTTCAATCTCTGGTTAGGGCACATGTATGCAAGAAGCAACCAATGAATGCGTAAATAAGTGGAACGACAAATCAATGTTTCTTTCTCTCTCTCTCTCTCTCTTTCTCTCTCTCTCTCTTCCTTCCTCCTTCTCTAAAAATCAATAAATAAAAATTACCAAAAAAACACACATTAAAGCAAAGAGGCAGCATGGTAAATTTTCAACTAGGGAGAATAAATAAATAGATAAGAATGATTAAATGTTTTCAATACACAGAAACACCCAATGCTGGCAAGACTAGAATAAAGCAAGTATATTCCTACAAGTACAGCTGGCACCATAAACCTGTGTTGCTGTTAAAATGTTTCTGGAAAGCAACTTGATAATTTGTCCATAAAGTGATAACAGAACAGTTGTCAATGAGTTATAGAAATGCTGAACAAAAGTGGCTATAACTACAGTTAAAAATTTAGGTTGGAATTAAGAAAGGATGAGATAGCGTCAAATCAGAAATACATAGAAGTTGTACCCACAACCATAAAAAATATTTTCTAGCTCTGACCCTGAAGTGTTTCAGCAGTGATATTATTAGCCTACTCATCATCAGATTGTTATAGAACAATATGAAGTGAACTCAGAGCATCCAGATCTGTTTCTAATAGTACTTCCCATTAAAAGAGCCAGGAGAGCATTTGACTCTATGTCTTGGAACAGAAGAAAGATAATCAATATGATCCAAGAATCCCTTGCTGGGACTGAAAACAAGGTGCTGTCATAAATTGTGGAAGCAGGGAAGCCGGCCTGTAGAGGCCACTACTGGCCAAGTTGTGCTGTAAACACTAAAAAGAGATCAGCTAAGAACAGATAATTAGAATAAGCTGAAACAGGAAAAAAATCACGACTCTGTAATAATACACACAGGTACATCAAAACAACTGAATGCTTAATTTTATAAATCTGAATAGCTAAGAGAGTGGAACCATACAAAGCTGTTCCTTATATAGTGTATATATTTGTTCTTAAAGGACAGACAAAAATATTCCTCTTTCCACTTAAATAGGGAAGGGAAAAACAGAAAACTATGAAAAAGTCAGAGTCCTATAGAAACTGCACCAAGAACAGGAAAGACAGGTGGGCACGAAGTAATCAACAGTGTGCAGCGGGTGACAGCTCAGCCACCACAAGAGATGATGTTCATCTTGAGATGTGTAAAACACATAACAAAGTCAAAACCAAAGCTAGACAGTACATCCTGTAACCCAAACACGATGAGCATGGAGGTGGAGAACGGAGGCAGCAGATGGCAAGAACAGGCAGGAGCCTGGGCAGTCCCGCAGTGCCATATAAACCTCAGCTCCACGTGGCCCGCAAGCTCAAGCAGAGTCACCACAGAATACACATCACATCCCTGTTCCCAACCAAGAAGCCATTATCAAGAACTTTG